ACTCGGTAACTACCTGTCGAGTTCTGATGTCGAGCACCCCTTTCTGAAAGCAAGGCACGGTGTTTGCCGTTTGCCGAATCCAACCAGACAATGCCAAACTTGGTGGCGTGCAGCCTTATTTAACTTTACTTTTTGAAAGGGATCGACCATAATACTCCCAATATGAGGCCGTCTCTATGAGGATAGATCTATGGTTTTCAACTTGACTCTACATATTTTAATAAATGAAAGTTTTTTTGGCATATGTCACACTCTTATTCAATTTGTCAAATGTTATTTTATGGTTATTTTGAATTTTTTTTTTCAATAGGTCATTTTATCAGTTTTTCTATTTTATTAAATTTTACATAATATTTTAATATATTAATTGCAATTAATGTAGTAATAAATGAATATCAACTTTATTAATAAACTTATTTTTTAGACAAAACTTCAATAATGGTCCCTGTGGTTTTCAAAAATATCAAGTTTAGTCCTTAAGTTCAAAAAACTTCACAGATGGTCCCTATGGTTTCAAAGCTTTTAACATATGGTCCTTTTCACTAACACAGTTAGCTTTTGGCCGTTCAGTGAAGGGCATTTCTATCTTTTCACTACCACAGGGACCATTTATGAAGTTTTGACTTATTTATTTTTTATAAAAGGAGCCCACCCACCCATCTCTTTCACTCTCTCTAAACAACCAAGAAACCACCATAAACCACCACCCAAAACCACCCTCTTCTGATCAAAAATATCACCCCAAACACCACCTCACATCTCCCTCTCATCTGTTTCTGCCCAGAAAAAGGAAGGAAGAGGTGGCATCGACCTTGCTGCCACCAAATTGTCACCACCCCACCCTTCACTGCTACCACCTAAGAGCACATCCCCAACCTTTTGTTGTTGCTATTTCGATCACAGCTCTCTCCCTCATCCTATTTTTTCCTTTGGAATTTTTAAGCAAGAAAGAAGAAGTAGAAGGCCACCGAAGCAGCCTCCTACTGCCCAACTCCACATGCTGCTGCTGCTTTAAAAATCACCTGCCACCTTACTTTCTCGCCAGAAAAACCACCCTTAGGCTACATAGTGACCTTCTCCACACTCCCTTCATTGAATACAGTCGAAGGAAGCAAGAGCATGGCATCAGAAGACCACCGGAGTGGCCTCCTGCCACCCCCGTCGCTGTTCCAAATCACTGCCATCAGCAAAGATGTGTTCGTAGGGTAACTCTGAAGGGGAAAATCATTTCTGCATTGATTTTGTTATCATTTGCTCGATCGATCCAAATCCTCCCTATACTAATTAAATCAATCAGAAGCCCCATCGTCGATGAACTCATATCAAACGGTGAAATCCCAAAATCATAGCTTTCTTAACCTCCGTCCCATTTCTTATTTCATTCCTTCACCATGGTTCTTTAATGGCTTATTCGACACTAACAACCCATTTGAAAACAACAAAACTCGAATCAAACCCATGAAGGGGAAGGGGGTACCATCGAATATTACAGTAGCAACCATTTTTGATCAAACTCAATAGCCCCACCCCACCCCAAATCACATTCTTTACATAGTTGATGCCAAAAAAACCGAAAGGGAATTTCTTGGGAAAATCTTAAAGTGGATCCATTCATAGATTTAGATGAAGAAGAAGATGTGTTGCTGAAGAGGATTTCAAGACCCGGAATTGCATCACAAATGTAAATCATACCCTATATCTCTCTTCTACATGAATGAAGGCACATAACCCATCAAATTTCAATCAAAATTACATTCGTATCCCTCGTCTTCTTCATAGATTTCCAGATAAACAACCATATATCTCCAAGAGACCAATCGGGATAAAGGTCAAAAACCCATAAGTGATTGTGAGGTGACCACCAGAAAAGGCCCCACAGAAATCTGTTTCAGATCAAATAAAAGAATGGAGTCCGACAACGATTTAAAGAAAGGGGTAGAAGAATGGTGATGGCGGTAGGAAGTAGGAACGGTGGAAAGAGAGAGAGAGAGAGAGAGAGAGAGAGAGGTGGGATCCTTTAATATTAATTAATTATATTTTTTTTCTTTTTTTTTAAATAAGATAAATCTTCATAAATGGTCCGTATCGCAGTGAAATGACATAAATATCCTTCACTTAACAACCAAAATCTAACGGAGTTAACGAAAATGATCATTTGTTAAAAGTTTTGAAATTACAAGGATCATCTGTGAGATTTTTTGAACTTAGGGACTAAACTTTATATTTTCGAAAACCACAGGGACCATTTTTGAAGTTTTGTCTATTTTTTATTTTTCATAAATTTCAAATTAAAGCTTTGTTTCTTTTATTTATATATTTAAATTTTATAAAAAAAACATTTAATTATAATAAATTATTATTATTTTTTTATTTTTCTATAAATTCAAATTTATTTTTATCTTTATATTTAATATTTTTTTAAAATTAATCTATATAATACATAAATCTAATACTATAACAAAAAAATATATAATATATTTTATTTAAATGTACGCGTGTCTGCCCAATAAAACGGTTAGTATGGCGACGCTAGAAGGCTGGTTTGATTCATTGCTTCCTAACAGGGTTCTTTCTATAAAATTGAAAATGATATATGAATAAAGATGCTATGATCCAACGGATAGAAATTACAGAAAATCCTTCAACTCTGACTCATAGCGGTTGCTGCCACGGGAGTGAGATGAGTTGGCGGCGCTTTTTTACTCACCAACCTCCCATGACCTTGAAAAGACCACAATGTTTAATTCTTCTTTCATTCATTCATTAAAAGTTCAAACAAGTCAAAACCACCAACTCCGACTTTCACTATTTCTAGTCTTTTTATTCTCCTATAAAATACAAAACTAATTAGACATTCACTCCATCACGATTTATTAAAATCATGACATTAGTATTTTAAATTTTATCAAACAGTACATTACATTGCAATTATCTCGCCTCAAATTTTAACAATGTCTTCTACGAAAGAGATTAAAAATTAGCGCAATGTTTTTAACGACGAACTGAAAGAGGCTTTGGATGGTGATATTATGATTGATGTATTTTCTCTTATTCTATTGTCATGTGATTTTAAAATCAACGCAATGTTTTTTTTTTTTTTTTTTTTTTAATGTTGATTATGTTTTCATTTTAGTAAATTAACTGTCAATTATTTTTATTCATTAAGTTAATATAGTTTTTATTTTACTTAAAAAAAAAAATAGTAAGGGGATAAGGCTGAAGAAAGGGACCATTTCTTAGGTAAAAGTAAGGAAGAGCTCAGTTCCAAATCTGGCCCAAGCTAACACGTATTCAATTGATACCGAAACCGATTTTTGCCAAAACCTAGAAAATGAGTATTTTCTTTATACCTGCAACACCCGGTGTTAATCTTGATGATGATTCCGATAAATAAAATGAAGAAGTGTGTTCCAAAATCCAACAAAAGAAAATGAGAACCAAAAGTAGGCAAAGAAAAAGTGGCTTGTTGGAAACTTTGTAAGTTGTTTCCATAGAGGAGATCTTGAGTGCAAATGATGAAGAATGATAAATGTAAGTTTTGATAAAAACATTTTTAAAGTCGAACTAACATGTAACGATCATAAGTGAGTGTAAAGAAGCACAAGGTGTCTCACAAGACCCACCTAAATTAAACTTTTTTTTTATAGCAAACTATATTTAAAAATTTGCTATAACCTATCTTAATTTTTAGGAACGACCTACATTAATTTGTTTCACAATAAAAATTAAGGCCCATTTTTATATTGCAGTAGCCAAATACTTAGGTAACTTGAAATTTTACCGGAATAATCCAATAAAATTAATACAAGATAAAAAAATAAAAAAAAAAAACAAACCATGAATCATTCATGTGTCTTTGTCCTCAGCATTTGGCACACACACAGATGCGTAATGCAAGGGGAAAATCTTTTTTTAAATATGTTTTTATTTATATGACTCGACCCGCTATCAAGATTTTTCGATGATTTTATCAGCCCAAATATTAATAAGGAGCCGAGTATGGGCCTCTGAGTGTATATTATCCGTCAAAGGCCCAATAAAAGTTGGCCCTCAACGGTGATGAATTCTGTTTTTTCTTAATATCCGAGTGACAGAGTCCATGTTTGAATCACCCAATTTGTGTTAATTTTGCCTTCTTTTCTTTTTTCTTCTTCTTCTTCTTCTAGGTCCATATCATCGTCAAGGTGTGTTTTCATTCACTGATGATTTGCAAAAAGATGGACTCGATCCATTTATCCCCGGCAATCATCAACGAGTAACATTCAAATTTTTATTTATGAGATTGTCAATTTTTTGTTAATAAACACCAAAAAGCACTTATCAAAGGATGTGTTAATTTGCTATATCACGAAGGCTATTCCTTCTCATTCAAACGGGATGAGTTATGAGTATTCTCCTCACTTTTTGTGCAATTAGTGAGAAGAATGGTGTACGGATCCCGGATCCAACAACTAATTATCCATAAATGTTTTTTATCCTTTTGATCTTTTTACCCATACAAACCATTGACTCCAAGTGTTGATCTTTCTTTCGTTGGCAGCAAAAGTCTGACCAATTTCAACGAAAACATAAATTGCAATAAGAATTGTGAACAAATCTTTTATTTGAAACTATTAGAGGTTGGTGGCATAATAAAGGACCCAAGAAGGTTCCATAACACGTTACACTACATTTGATCAAAAGGTGTAATTTTGGTAACATTCTAAAACATGACTTATATGATATATCCAAACGGTTTGGAAGCTTTCATGTAGACTTATACATACAAACACACAAACAAAAGTATGCCTTAGGTATAAGTATTTGACACATGGGGGCTTTGACACATGGGGGCTTAGAGGGTGGGTAAAGTAGGCAGCTGTACAGGGCTCAATTTTTTTCATTATATATTTTTATTTAAAAATACAAAATTATAATAAAGATAAGGGCCCTTTTTATTCTTGTTCGTCCTGAGCCTTTAAAAATATTTCATTTTTCAAGACCGGCCCTGTGATAATACATCATATCGTGTCCTTCGGCTTATGTTGTAGATTCATTCCAACAGTATCCACACGTGGTCTAGCAATCAACCAACGGCTACCAGTACCAGTACCAGTACCAGTACCCGTACCCGTACCCGTACCAGTATCACCACCACCAGAGACCCTATCATTGGAGCGGCCATCATCCTCAACATTATTTGAATATGAATGCCCCGAGTCTTGAGACGTTTTTACCTCACTAGGATTCTGATTCTGAACATTGTTACTCTTTGATTTACCAAAGATGGCTTCGTGCAACTTCTCACAGCAACTCTTAGCAGCTGGGCGTTGTTCATTTGACTGATGATTGTATGCCATTCAGTTCAAGAGCTAGCTAGATAGTAGTAGTGTGATAGATGGAAGATGGATATAATTCAGAGATTAATGTATGGGTATTTAAAGGGACATTGTTCGACTACTAAAACCTACTTTTTTCGTTCACATTGGAAATATAAAACAGGTAATCACAGGGGAAGGTGGTTTCTATTATTGTTGAAACATGAGAGAAATTCTACTCACATTTACATGTTTTGTATGACGTTACAAGGCTGACGATGTATCCTGACTTGTAACAAATGATTTAATCCATTAGAAAGCACATTCTGTACACACAAGGTGAAGGTGGGTGGGGTGGGTCAGTCATTTTAGGGTATCTTCTAGTCTAATCATATTTGTATATGTTTTTGTTCCATTTATTCCGGTTTTTCCTCTTTGGGATATAATCTATTAATCTAATAGATAAAGAGGGCCACTAGTAGGTAGAATCATATTCTGGAATTGTTTCTTCCAATCAAAAGAATAGAACATAAATAGAGCCTGAATAAAGCAAATTAATAGTAATTTTAAAATCGGTTCATATTTGTGTGTGTTTGTGCTTTTTTCTTTCACGATTTGAAACAATGGTTTTTTTTTTGTTATTATGTTACAATATATTTAGTATATTACTAGGTGTGAGACCCATGTATTACATGGGTTTAATTAAAAAAAATAAATATAAAATTTTAACAATTTGAAAAGTTTGAATTTATAAGAAAATAAGAAAAATTTTGAATTATTAAAATTAATGAGACTTTAATGTATTGAATACATTACATATATAAACACTTTCTAATAAATACTTTACATATATATTAACTTACACATTATATGTGGAAATTTAATTTAATAAAATGAAAAATACAATAAAATGACAAGTGAAAAATTGAAAATTTAAAAATTCTATAAAAATGACATGTGTCCAAATAAAGGAGAAGAGGACATGTGGCAAAAAAACCTTCATTTATTATAGTAGATTCTCTTAATATATATGATGTAGTTTAGAAAATTAATTTTAAAATCAATGCTTGTGAAAATATATTCTTTGTTTAAGGACTTTTTATTGCCTTCTTATTTCCAAAAAAAATAAACATAAATATACATTAATTCGACGGTAGTGAATCAATATTACACATCGTTTAACGTATTTCCAACTCCAATTTCTTTTTTGAGCTTAAGTGCTTGGCAAAGACAAATAATATATATGTTTGACATTTTAAACTTAGAAAAAAGTTAAAAATATATACAACTTCAATATCTACGAACCCACCCACATCACCACGAGGGTAGTGTATAATGCCTCTTCAATCGCGACTTGCATTCCCTCTCACGCTACTCTAATTTTGTCACATCCCATGACTACTAGATCTCGTCATGGCATTTCCAAAACCATCCACAAAAATCTTCTTGTGTATTCTAAGTTGTTGGTATCCGTATTACAAGGTTTTTAAGATCCTATCTAGCTAAACACCATAAAAGAGAAATATAAAGCCCTCAAGGCTAATGATACATGTTTTCTTGTTCTAGACCAAATGATGCAGATTTATAAATTGCATTATGATTATTTAAGAACAAATTGTTGGTGAGAGCTTAGCACGATAAAGATAAATTAGATAATTGTAGTTTGTTGTGTAAATATTATCAGATCCTAGAATAGCTGATAGATAGTTATTTTATTTGTTGTATAAGTGCTGTAAGATCCGATCAATGAAATACATTGAAAACTTCTTCCATCTCTCTCTCTAATCTCTAAAACCACATGGTATCAGAGCGTAAGAGATCCTTAACCATCGCATTAAATCCATGTATTGAAAACCGTTGAAATCACCAAACCAGCGAAGCATCATGGGAACAGACGATAGCTCTTCCAGTTCCTCCGTGATTGTCCAGAATGTCCAAGACACACCATTCCCCACGGGTGTTACCCTTGACGACACGAATTACCCGTTGTGGTCGCAATTGATGGAGATGAGGATCGGAGCTCGTAACAAATCCGGTTTCCTCACCGGCGCATCCGTGAAACCTACCAACAACGACAAGGCAATTGAAACATGGGTCACCGACAAAAATAGGGTCAAGAGCTAGCTTATTGACTCGATGAACCCAACCCTAATACGTCGATTCATACGTCTCCAAACGGCTGCAGAAATATGGGAGGCGGTGAAGAAGACGTTTTACGATGGGTCTGACGAAACCCAACTCTTTGAACTAAATCGCAGGTCCTTCACAACCCGGTAGAATGGTAGAAGCCTACCCACATACTACAATGAATTGATCAACATCTTTCAAGAGATTGATGCCCATTTGGTAACTGAAGAAGCGATGGTGGTTGTGACGATGACAGTAAACAAAACCCTATCTCGGTTTAGGGTCCACATCTTCCTAGCTGGATTAGATCAAGAATTCAATCAGGCAAGGAGCGAAATTATGAGGAAGGATCCAGCCTTGGATCTCGAGACCTCATATGATTATATCCGTAAGGACTACACTCAGCGACAGTCCATGGAAGAATCCAAGCCAGAATCGGATAGCATAATCCACATGGCTGCACGAAATCGGAATCAAAACAAAGGAAAAAAGCAACAAAGGGAACACGTTCACATACTGTGGTGAAGATGGACATTCAAAATCAAAGTGTTATGAACTCATAGGCTACCCGGAATAGTGGGATTTCACCAAGAAACCAAGGAAGAAGATTGGTCAAGCGGCTGTGGTTAAGTCTCCCCAAACTGAGGAAACAACAACACCCATGGTAGCTCATACTTTGGCAAATACGGGTATGTTATACACTACTAAAAATGATCAAAGTGATAAATGGATTATTGATACAGGAACTACTGATCATATGACAAATGATCTATCGAAATTAATTACACATCACGCTCTAAAACAAACAAATATCCAAACCGCAAGTGGTGAAATAGAACCAGTGATTGGTAAGTGTACAGTAAAAGTCACGGATTCTATGGATTTGGATTCTATCCTTGTAGTCCCTTCTCTATCATCAAACTTATTGTCCGTTAGTCAAATCACTAAAGCTCTAAACTGTTATGTTACATTTTGGAAACATGATTGTGTATTTCAGGACTTGGTAACTCACCAGACTTTTGGCTATGGTACTAGACGTGGCAGGCTGTATTCCCTTGAAGAAAATCATCAAAGTCAAGCGTATCATGTACGGGTAGCTCAAGTAAATAAGTTTGTTGCAATGCTTTGGCATCGAAGACTAGGACATTTATCTTTCACGTACCTTAGGAAACTTAAACCTAATTTGTTTTTGAATGAAACAGATCATGATTTTAAGTGTAGTGTTTGTGAGTTGGCCAAAAACACGAAAATCTCTTATTCATCAAGTGATAATAAATCTACCATTCCTTTTATGAAGATTCATTCGGATGTATGGGGGCCTGCCCAAGTACTTACTCATGATGGTGCTAAGTATTTTGTAACTTTCATTGATGAATGTACCCGTATGGTGTGGGTATCACTCCTTAAAACCAAAGGAGAAGTAGTAAAAGCTTTTAAAGAACTATACCATATGATTAAAACTGTATACCGAACAGAAATTCATATACTCCAATCTGAAAATGGAGGAGAGTATATAAATTACCAGATGAAAACATTTTGCAAAGAAAAATTGATTCATTATCAAACTTCTTGTGCAAGGTCACCACAGCAAAATGGTATTGCCGAGAGACGAAACAGGCAACTACTAGAATGTAACATCCCAAAATAAAACCCAAATTTTTTTGTTTAATCTTTACTAAAATAATTAGATCAATATTATAAAATAAAAAAAAAACCATACGTCAATATCTCAAAACCATAACAAAGTATCACGAGAAGACTGTATCAATCATATCTATGAAAAGCTAAATCAACTCCTACGACAAAAACTGAAGGTGTGGTGTGTGCGATGCCATCATCCCGAGCTCTTCCCTTTACTTGCGGAAGTACCTGAAACCAAAACTGAAACTCTAAGCATGAAGATTAGTGAGCTCGCCCAAACTACCACATACCATACAATAACATATAAACATATACTGGGCCTTGCCCACTGCATCGGACCGAAGTCCGGAAACTGCATCGGACCGAAGTCCAGAACTAACCAGGGTCTTGCCCTCTGCATTAGACCGAAGTCCGGAAACTGCATCGGACCGAATTCCGGAACTAACTGGGACCTTGTCCCCTGCATCAGACCGTAGTCCGGAACTAACTGTATCGGATCGAAATCCGGAACTGACTGGGACCTTGTCCCCTGTATCGGACCGAAGTTCGGAAACTGAATAAGCATAACATAGCATAGCATAAACATATCAACTAGCATAAGCACATATACTGCATACTGCATCGGACCGAAGTTCGGAACACATAACACAAACATGCTTGAATCACAAAGACATCAAGCAATCTAACTACTGCATCGAACCGAGGTCCAGAACTACTGCTAACTAAACGAGTTGGCATTATGGCCGTAGACCCGTTCCTACAGGGAGGAAAACTCACCTCGTAGTCTGGCTGCTGAATGAACTGCTCTGGAATCTATATGTTGCTGCTTCGGTGTCTCCCCGACTGCAATTTCCATAAGTACACTCAATCAAATACTGATAACTATACTGAGGGTAAAATAACTATTTTACCCCTGATCAAAGTCAACCTCTTGGTCAAAGTCAACATACAGTTGACCTGACTCGTCGAGTTAGGCCACCAACTCGTCGAGTCCCTACTCTCATTTCTCAATTCTGCTCGCTACTACTCGTCGAGTTTGGCATAGACTCGACGAGTTCCTCTTTGATACAAACATTTAGTCAATATGCATCCGACTCGCCGAGTTGTATAAACAACTCGTCGAGTTCTCCTTCATCATATGAACACCCCGACTGGGACTCGCCGAGTTGTATGAACAGCTCTTCGAGTCTGTTCTTGAGATATGAAGATTGCCTTGGACTCGCCGAGTCAGGGCATTGACTCGCCGAGTCCCTCCATGAATGAGTCCGATCTTC